AGGTTAACAAATACTGAAAAGAGTCAGTAATTTTTTGTTATATGACACTGTATTTAAGATGCCCACAATATAACTAGATTATTTTAGTATAGATTAACAATTTGTGATTAGAACCTTACATCATGGAAATTCCTTGTAAATTTTGTTTTCTTTTCTTTATTTTCTTTTTCAAATCAAATCTTTGGGAGACCTCTTAGCCTGTCAAAAAGGGATTCTCTCTCAATAACATTGTCATTGTCTCTTTATGTTCTATGTTATATTGTTTATGGTCTTCATCAGACAGACCTAGTTCTACTGTTTTCCCTGTTTGTTGACAGACCTAGTTCTACTGTTTTCCCTGTTTGTTGACAGACCTAGTTCTACTGTTTTTCCTGTTTGTTGACAGACCTAGCTCTACTGTTTTCCCTGATTGTTTACAGACCTAGTTCTACTGTTTTCCCTGATTGTTGACAGACCTAGTTCTACTGTTTTCCCTGTTTGTTGACAGACCTAGTTCTACTGTTTTCCCTGTTTGTTGACAGACCTAGCTCTACTGTTTTCCCTGATTGTTGACAGACCTAGTTCTACTGTTTTCCCTGATTGTTGACAGACCTAGTTCTACTGTTTTCCCTGATTGTTGACAGACCTAGCTCTAATGTTTTCCCTGATTGTTGACAGACCTAGCTCTACTGTTTTCCCTGTTCACAGACAAACCTAGCTTTACTGTTTTCCCTGTTTGTTGACAGACCTAGCTCTACTGTTTTCCCTGTTTGTTGACAGACCTAGCTCAGCTGTTTTCCCTGTTTGTTGACAGACCTAGTTCTACTGTTTTCCCTGTTTATTGACAGACCTAGCTCTACTGTTTTCCCCGTTTATTGACAGGCCTAGCTTTACTGTTTTCCCTGTTTGTTAACAGACCTAGCTCTACTGTTTTCCCTGATTGTTGACAGACCTAGCTCTAATGTTTTCCCCATTTGTTGACAGACCTAGTTCTACTGTTTTTCCTGTTTGTTGACAGACCTAGCTCTACTGTTTTCCCTGATTGTTGACAGACATAGCTCTACTGTTCTCCCTGTTTGTTGACAGACCTAGCTCTACTGTTTTCCCTGTTTGTTGACAGACCTAGCTCTACTGTTTTCCCTGTTTGTTGACAGACCTAGCTCTACTGTTTTCCCTGTTTGTTGACAGACCTAGCTCTACTGTTTTCCCTGTTTGTTGACAGACCTAGCTCTACTGTTTTCCCTGTTTGTTGACAGACCTAGTTCTACTGTTTTCCCTGTTTATTGACAGACCTAGCTCTACTGTTTTCCCTGTTTGTTGACAGACCTAGCTCTACTGTTTTCCCTGATTGTTTTCCCTGATTGTTGTTTTCCCTGTTTGTTGAGACCTAGCTCTACTGTTTTCCCTGTTTGTTGACAGACCTAGCTCTACTGTTTTCCCTGATTGTTGACAGGCCTAGCTCTACTGTTTTCCCTGTTTGTTGACAGACCTAGCTCTACTGTTTTCCCTGTTTGTTGACAGACCTAGTTCTACTGTTTTCCCTGTTTGTTGACAGAACTAGCTCTACTGTTTTCCCTGATTGTTGACAGACCTAGCTCTACTGTTTTCCCTGATTGTTGACAGACCTAGCTCTACTGTTTTCCCTGTTTGTTGACAGACCTAGTTCTACTGTTTTCCCTGTTTGTTGACAGACCTAGCTCTACTGTTTTCCCTGTTGTTGACAGACAGACTGTTTTCCCTGATTGTTGACAGACCTAGCTCTACTGTTTTCAGACCTAGTTTGTTTTCCCTGATTGTTGACAGACCTAGCTCTACTGTTTTCCCTGATTGTTGACAGACATAGCTCTTCTGTTTTCCCTGATTGTTGACAGACCTAGCTCTACTGTTTTCCCTGTTTGTTGACAGACCTAGCTCTACTGTTTTCCCTGTTTGTTGACAGACCTAGCTCTACTGTTTTCCCTGATTGACCTTGACAGACCTAGCTCTACTGTTTTCCCTGTTTGTTGACAGACCTAGCTCTACTGTTTTCCCTGTTTGTTGACAGACCTAGCTCTACTGTTTTCCCTGTTTGTTGACAGACCTAGCTCTACCCTGTTTTCAGACCTAGCTCTACTGTTTTCCCTGATTGTTGACAGACCTAGCTCTAATGTTTTCCCGGATTGTTTACAGACCTAGATCTACTGTTTTCCCTGTTTATTGACAGACCTAGCTCTACTGTTTTCCCTGTTTGTTGACTGTTTTCCCTGTTGTTTGACAGACCTAGCTCTACTGTTTTCCCTGTTTGTTGACAGACCTAGCTCTACTGTTTTCCCTGTTTAGCTCTACTGTTTTCCCTGTTTGTTGACAGACCTAGCTCTACTGTTTTCCCTGATTGTTGACAGACCTAGCTCTACTGTTTTCCCGTTTTCCCTGTTTGTTGACAGACCTAGCTCTACTGTTTTCCCTGATTGTTTACAGACCTAGTTCTACTGTTTTCCCTGATTGTTGACAGACCTAGCTCTACTGTTTTCCCTGTTTGTTGACAGACCTAGCTCTACTGTTTTCCCTGATTGTTGACAGACCTGTTGACAGACCTAGCTCTACTGTTTTCCCTGTTTGTTGACAGACCTAGCTCTTCTGTTTTCCCTGTTTGTTGACAGACCTAGCTCTACTGTTTTCCCTGATTTGTTGACAGACCTAGCTCTACTGTTTTCCCTGATTGTTGACAGACCTAGTTCTACTGTTTTCCCTGTTTGTTGACAGACCTAGCTCTACTGTTTTCCCTGATTGTTGACAGACCTAGCTCTACTGTTTTCCCTGATTGTTGACAGACCTAGCTCTACTGTTTTCCCGATTGTTGACAGACCTTGTTGACAGACCTAGCTCTACTGTTTTCCCTGTTTGTTGACAGACCTAGCTCTACTGTTTTCCCTGTTTGTTGACAGACCTAGCTCTACTGTTTTCCCTGTTTGTTGACAGACCTAGCTCTACTGTTTTCCCTGATTGTTGACAGACCTAGCTCTACTGTTCTCCCTGTTTATTGACAGACCTAGCTCTACTGTTTTCCCTGTTTGTTGACAGACCTAGCTCTACTGTTTTCCCTGATTGTTGACAGACATAGCTCTACTGTTCTCCCTGTTTATTGACAGACCTAGCTCTACTGTTTTTCCTTATTGTTGACAGACCTAGCTCTACTGTTTTCCCTGATTGTTGACAGACCTAGCTCTACTGTTTTCCCTGATTGTTGACAGACATAGCTCTACTGTTCTCCCTGTTTATTGACAGACCTAGCTCTACTGTTTTCCCTGATTGTTGACAGACCTAGCTCTACTGTTTTCCCTGTTTGTTGACAGACCTAGCTCTACTGTTTTCCCTGTTTGTTGACAGACCTAGCTCTACTGTTTTCCCTGTTTGTTGACAGACCTAGTTCTACTGTTTTCCCTGATTGTTGACAGACCTAGCTCTACTGTTTTCCCTGATTGTTGACAGACCTAGCTCTACTGTTTTCCCTGTTTGTTGACAGACCTAGCTCTACTGTTTTCCCTGTTTGTTGACAGACCTAGCTCTACTGTTTTCCCTGATTGTTGACAGGCCTAGCTCTACTGTTTTCCCTGTTCGTTGACAGACCTAGCTCTACTGTTTTCCCTGATTGTTGACAGACCTAGCTCTACTGTTTTCCCTGATTGTTGACAGACATAGCTCTACTGTTCTCCCTGTTTATTGACAGACCTAGCTCTACTGTTTTCCCTGTTTGTTGACAGACCTAGCTCTACTGTTTTCCCTGATTGTTGACAGACCTAGCTCTACTGTTTTCCCTGATTGTTGACAGACCTAGCTCTACTGTTTTCCCTGATTGTTGACAGACCTAGCTCTACTGTTTTCCCTGATTGTTGACAGACCTAGCTGCACAGACCTAGCTCTACTGTTTTCCCTGTTTGTTGACAGACCTAGCTCTACTGTTTTCCCTGTTTGTTGACAGACCTAGCTCTAATGTTTTCCCTGTTTGTTGACAGACCTAGCTCTACTGTTTTCCCTGTTGTTGACAGACCTAGCTCTACTGTTTTCCCTGTTGTTGACAGACATAGCTCTACTGTTTTCCCTGATTTCTTGACAGACATAGCTCTACTGTTACTGTTCCCCTGTTTATTGACAGACCTAGCTCTACTGTTTTCCCTGTTTGTTGACAGACCTAGCTCTACTGTTTTCCCTGATTGTTGAACAGACCTAACTGTTTTTGTTGACCTTATTTCTCCCTGATTATTAGCTCTACTGAACTGGTTCTCCCTGTTTGTTTTTCTTTAATGTATTTTCTTTAAATATCAGATTTATCTTTATTTTTTCTAAAGATTTGATGAACAATGCTTTATTATTTTCTTTATTTATTCACGTGGACTGCTGTTTGTTTTTTAGCTCTGAGATTTATCTTTATTTTTTCTAAAGATTTGGTGAACAATGCTGTATTATTTTCATTCTTTATTCACGTGGACTGCTGTTCAGACTACAGTACATTTTCCATGCACTTCAGTTTATTGTATTTAATTGTCAGAAAAACCTATTCAAATTCCATGCATATAAATTTTTTTGTACAATCTAAGCGAGATATTATTTTAGCAATACTAAAATTAGCTTAACTTTAACTGTATTTGACACATTCATCTTAATAAGCAAATATTATTTTCTTGAAAAGTCTTACTTAATTACTATAAAAACTTTAAGCATTATACATGCAGTTTCTTTGAAATCTAAGTCACATTATTTGTGTTCTGGTTTTAGCATGTGTGAATGCAATAGTGCCAATATGTCTTTGTTTGCTTTTTATTTCTTCAATGATATTTGCATTGGCTGATTATTGTAAATTTTGCTTATTGAATTATTGTTTTTGCCGATAACTTGCCAAGACCTTGTTTATGGTCAATGCAGAGCTTAGTGAATAACGTAAGAAAATTTAAGTAACAGTATCAAAAGATCAAGATAATAAAACATAATTTAATTCTATAATATTTGTGCTTCTTTTAAATTTTCCAATCATTTTACTATTAAAGCTTGAAGATGATGTCATTGCAAAACCGGGGTATTTCTCCATCATGAAAAAGTTTGCTGAACAACAACATACAGAGGAATGGATGCTGTTGGAGTTCTCTGCTCTTGGATTCATTGGTAATTCATTGGAAAGTTTTAAAGGAGACTCTACCTGTTGAATTGATATGTTGTCTAGGCTGCTTGGGATTAAAAGTGCCAACTCCATTACTACAAAATATATCAATATCTTTTTTGCCATTCTGATGTGTGAAAGGCAATCAATTTCATGTACATTTTGTAAAAAGAGGATCTAATCTTGTCTTACAGAAGGAATGAGGCCCAGTCGGCACAGAAGAACTACTTTTTTTTTCAAATCATTCTATATTTAAAATGTTTTTGGTAAAATTTTAGTCTGGAACATGAACCTAAAAGTTTCTGCTTAAGGCAGATTACAGATTTTTCATCCTGCAAAGTATTATTCCTAAACCCCCCCCCAAAAAAAAAAAAAAAAAACCGATACAAACATTATTTTAGCTATAAATCTTATTAAACCAGATGACTGGCATGGGCCTTATGGGTTCTTTTCAAGAGTTAATAAAAATCATAAGAAAGTGCTTGAAAATTGAAATTACAAGAGAAAACTTTAAAAATATGCCGTTAGCTTTAGCCAACTGTTGAAAATCTTGACAAGTGGATACGTACTGATCTTCATGTTCAGCAAATGTTCATAATGACTGATAGACTATAAGAATATTATAGAATTTCAATTTGACAAGAGAAACTTTTTAGAAAATGGTATACGGTATTGTTTTCTATGGAAGTCAGACCTTTTGTTACATTATCTTAGAAACTGTGGACGGAACGTTCAAGATACAAATGAACCAGTCCTGGTGTCCAGATCTTTTTGTAAACTCATAAAATGGTGATTATTTTTCCAGGTAAAATGTTCAAGTCAGTAGATCTGCCACTGGTAGTTGAGTTTTTCCTCATGTTCCATCGAGACAAGCCCATTGATTGGTTACTGGACTATCTTCTGTCGGTGAAAGTCTGTAACCCAGAAAAGGACTCGGTAGGTTCATCATCTACTCTAAAATTTAATAGTTTTGCCAGAGATGTTTGTAGCTAAACTGGAGACCAATACCAGTAAACAACAAACACATGTGCATGTACATCAAGTAAACATCAACAAGTGCAGCTGATGATATTTGCTTTCTGCATTTCATAGAACTAAATAAATTTATTATAAACATTTCTTATTTAAAAACATTTGTATCTTCAAAAATACTTCCATCTTAAAAAGAAAGAATGTTTTTGAAGTAGGCTATATATTCAATAGGTATAATATAAGTGTATCATGCATTGTTCATATACATGATTAAGTAAATTTACTATTCAAAAGAGGTTAAGTATATTAAGAGAGTTTGTGATTTGAATTCTAATTTTTTTTTTCATCAACCATTACAAAATAAATTAGCAGCTTCAGTGTTGTATTTTTGTTTCTATACAGCGTCATTGTACCAGAATGAAGGCGACTGTGAGGAGGCGGTACAAGCCATCACTGTTCCAACATGTGGGGATGAAGTCGTCTCTCAAGGGCAAAGTACAGAAGCTGAAGGTCAGTGTAACGGAATAAACATAGGGAAATACTCATTGCCTGAATAGACTGATATAATTCAGTACCATCTCACCTTATAATTAGATAATTGACACATAAGGATCCCATTTAATAAGACTTTGTGTTTCAACTTTTACTTATGTAATACTGCGTGTTTCAGGACAAAGATTTTGGTAAACAAATGCTTCATCGAGCACATGCTAACCCCAGCGCAGACCTAACTTCTAGTCTGAAGATGTACCAGAAGTATTCATTCCAGAAAGCTTATATTGGCCAAGATATTTTCTGGGCCACAGAACCAAAGAACGGAGACTTGATCAACATTAAATTCAAAACTCCAATGGAGCTTGATGGGTAAGCTGTCAATTCTATCTTCAGTTTTCTGTGATTCAACCATTGTCATAGTTTATTGTGATTCCAACACTGTCATAGTTTATTGTGATTCCAACCAAGGATTCTCATCATGGTAGGATTCTTATCATAGGATTCTCATCATGGTAGGATTTTCATCATCATAGGATTCTCATTGTGGAAAGATTCTCATCATGATAGGATTCTTATCATGGAAGGATTCTCATCATAGGATTCTCATCATGGTAGGATTCTCATCATAGGATTCTCATCATGGTAGGATTCTCATCATGGTAGGATTCTCATCATAGGATTCTCATCGTGGTAGGATTCTCATCATGGTAGGATTCTCATCATAGGATTCTCATCGTGGTAGAATTCTCATCATGGTAGGATTCTCATCATGGTAGGATTCTCATCATGGTAGGATTCTTATCATAGGATTCTCATCATGGTAGGATTTTCATCATCATAGGATTCTCATTGGATTTTCAACATGGTAGGATTCTCATCATGGTAGGATTCTCATTGTGGAAAGATTCTCATCATAGTAGGATTCTTATCATAGGATTCTCATCATGGTAGAATTCTCATCCTGATAGGATTTTCAACATGGTAGGATTCTCATCATGGTAGGATTCTCATCATGGTAGGATTCTCATCATGGTAGGATTCTCATCATGGTAGGATTCTCATCATGGTAGGATTATCATCGTGTTAAGATTCTCATCATGGTAGGATTCACATCATGGTAGGATTCTCATGATGGTAGGATTCTCATCATGGTAGGATTATCATCGTGTTAAGATTATCATCATGGTAGGATTTTCATCATCATAGGATTCTCATTGTGGAAATCGTGGTAGGATTCTCATCGTGGTAGGATTCTCATCATGGTAGGATTCTCATCGTGGTAGGATTCTCATCGTGGTAGGATTTTCATTGTGGTAGGATTTTCATTGTGGTAGGATTTTCATTGTGATTCTCATCGTGGTAGGATCCTCATCGTGGTAGGATTTTCATCGTGGTAGGATTCTCATCATGGTAGGATTCTCATCATGGTAGGATTCTCATCATAGGATTCTCATCGTGGTAGAATTCTCATCATGGTAGGATTCTCATCATGATAGGATTATCATCGTGTTAAGATTCTCATCATGGTAGGATTCACATCGTGGTAGGATTCTCATCATGGTAGGATTCACATCGTGGTAGGATTCACATCGTGTTAAGATTCTCATCATGGTAGGATTCTCATCGTGTTAAGATTCTCATCATGGTAGGATTCTCATCATGATAGGATTATCATCGTGTTAAGATTCTCATCATGGTAGGATTCACATCGTGGTAAGATTCTCATTGTGGTAGGATTCTCATCGTGGTAGGATTCTCATGGTGGTAGGATTCTCATGGTGGTGGGATTCTCATCGTGGTAGGATTATCATCTTGGTAGGATCCCCATCATGGTAGGATTCACATCGTGGTAGGATTCTCATCGTGGTAGGATTCTCATCGTGGTAGGATTCTCATCGTGGTAGGATTCTCATCGTGGTAGGATTCTCATCGTGGTAGGATTTTCATCGTGGTAGGATTTTCATCGTGGTAGGGTTCTCATCATGGTAGGATTCTCATCGTGGTAGGATCCTCATCGTGGTAGGATTTTCATCGTGGTAGGATTCTCATCATGGTAGGATTCTCATCATGGTAGGATTCACATCGTGGTAGGATTCTCATCGTGGTAGGATTCTCATCATGGTAGGATTCTCATCATGGTAGGATTCACATCGTGGTAGGATTCTCATCATGGTAGGATTCTCATCATGGTAGGATTCTCATCGTGGTAGGATTCTCATCATGGTAGGATTCTCATCGTGGTAGGATTCTCATCGTGGTAGGATTCTCATCATGGTAGGATTCTCATCGTGGTAGGATCCTCATCGTGGTAGGATTCTCATGGTGGTAGGATTCTCATGGTGGTGGGATTCTCATCGTGGTAGGATTCTCATCATGGTAGGATTCTCATCGTGGTAGGATTCTCATCGTGTTAAGATTCTCATCATGGTAGGATTCTCATCATGGTAGGATTCTCATCATGGTAGGATTCACATCATGGTAGGATTCACATCATGGTAGGATTATCATCGTGTTAAGATTCTCATCATGGTAGGATTCTCATCATGGTAGGATTCACATCATGGTAGGATTCTCATCATGGTAGGATTCTCATCGTGGTAGGATTCTCATCGTGGTAGGATTCTCATCGTGGTAGGATTCTCATCATGGTAGGATTCTCATCATGGTAGGATTCTCATGGTGGTAGGATTCACATCGTGGTAGGATTCTCATCGTGGTAGGATTCACATCGTGGTAGGGTTCTCATCCTGGTAGGATTCTCATGGCGGTAGGATTCTCATCATGGTAGGATTCTCATCATGGTAGGGTTCTCATCCTGGTAGGATTCTCATGGCGGTAGGATTCTCATCATGGTAGGATTCTCATCATGATAGGATTCTCATCGTGGTAGGATTCTCATCGTGGTAGGATTCTCATTGTGGAAAGATTCTCATCATGGTAGGGTTCTCATCGTGGTTGGATTCTCAGGGTGGTAGGATTCTCATCGTGGTAGGATTCTCATCATGGTAGGATTCTCATCATGGTAGGATTCTCATCATTGTAGGATTCTCATCATGGTAGGATACTCATCATGGTAGGATTCTCATCGTGGTAGGATTCTCATCGTGGTAGGATTCTCATCGTGGTAGGATTCTCATCGTGGTAGGATTCTCATCATGGTAGGATTCTCATCGTGGTAGGATCCTCATCGTGGTAGGATTTTCATCGTGGTAGGATTTTCATCGTGGTAGGGTTCTCATCATGGTAGGATTCTCATCGTGGTAGGATTCTCATTGTGGAAAGATTCTCATCATGGTAGGGTTCTCATCGTGGTAGGATTCTCATGGTGGTAGAATTCTCATCATGATAGGATTCTCATCGTGGTAGGATTCTCATCATGGTAGGATTCTCATCATGGTAGGATTCTCATCGTGGTAGGATTCTCATCGTGGTAGGATTCTCATCATGGTAGGATTCTCATCGTGGTAGGATTCTCATCATGGTAGGATTCTCATTGTGGTAGGATTCTCATCGTGGTAGGATTCTCATCGTGGTAGTATTCTCATCGTGGTAGGATTCTCATCATGGTAGGATTCTCATGGTGTGAAAGATCATGGTACAATTCTATTGCGTTTATATTTGACTTTTATGAAATATCACATTTATCATGATTACTTACTAAGTGAAATTGTGTTTCAGTGTTTTGTTTAGAAGTGGAAATCCTGCCCATATAGCAGATATATTCTATAACACAAGTGTTGAGATCATGCCAGACAACCCAGATGATGAGAATGAATTGATTCAACATGGAATCCGAAAGACACTAGACGGGTTCTTCATCATGGGTTGGTTTGATGAGGACGGTCTCGCTGATTGTACTTTTCCCTCAGACATTGGGAAGATATCAAAAATTAGACTTCATGTTCATGCTAACAGTAAAAACTGGATCATTCTGAGCGAGGTAGGTAACACTCTGACGTTTACAGTAAGATCTATATATGTCACTGCCACTTTATGATGGGTGCCATGTAATCTTACCTTTGGCCGTCACTCTGTTGTAATTTCGTTTCTACTCAGATACTCTTTAACAGATACAGATGTAGAACTGTAATTTTGTATCTTGTTGTATAATGATACACAGGTTTAATTCTGATTTGGGTATGGGCAATTAATTACAAGAATTTTAAGAAAAAGTTTCATTCACAAAAACAATGATATCAAGATTTTAGAGCCTTGCCTGATTCCAGTGGGAAATTAAGAAAAAAACATAAACAAAAAATCTACATGCAGAATTTTAGTTTCATGTAAGATTCTTTGCCATAGAGTCTGCATGTAGGTCTTCATTAGTACACCCCTTAACAAAGCCAATAAATATAAAAAAGTTCCAAACTTCTACTTGGTCGGCGGCTGGGGCATTCATGTTGCTGCAAAACATCTAGTTTTGTTAAGAATGATTAATATGTCATGAATTTGTCTATCAATTAAGTGTACAGAATTCTGTCAGTCACTAATTTATTGTTTTACTTTTGTAGGTTCACATAAAAACCAGGGAGTCTGGTAGCTGACAGTCTTTTTGAGATAGGACCTTATACAATGTAGTGCTGTAGCTGTTACAGAGACATGGACTGAGGTCTTGGTAGCTTACAGTGTCCTGTGGTGGAAAACCTAGTCCCATGTGGTTTGTGGGATATGGATCAAGGTCCTTGTAGCTAACAGTGTCTTTTATTGGTAACTTATCCCATGTAGTTGGGGGACGTGAACCGAGGTCTCTATAGCTGGCAGTGTCCATTATTGGTAACCTCGATCAGACACTGGATAACTCAACCATATATGTGGAGCTACTAATCTGACATTTAGTCTTAATTCACCATAGATAAATGATATAATAAGATATGCAGATGTAATACAATTGCTATAAATATTCTAAACTCTTGATTTAAAGATGATTTTTATAAATTATTACCATTGAATCGTGACAGAGTATTAAGTACTTGAATTTAATGTATTGATGTATTACAACGATAAGGTGACTTTGTGATGTATCTGTTATTTTCACAGCCTTGATGAAGCATGTTGTACTGTCACATAGTCTGAATGCACATGCAATCATTTCTGTATGTCTGAATTTCAACCTTCATCTACAGGGAATTCTTGCTCAACAACGAACAGGGAAATAGGTAAAGACTCACCACGATCAGCATTCATATCACAGAGTGATCAACACTTTAACAAAGGCTACAGCTTTTCTTTTGTAATCCAAACCAAATTCTCAACCAATGGTGTATCTCTGGAAGGCAACACTTATCCTCACATTCTGTTTTGGTCAGTTTTGAAAAAAAAAAATGTAATGATGAAACTAAATGTTGTGGTCAGTTCTTTTTTCCATGCGATATTTTTATTTTGAATGAGTGGATTGGCTGAGGTGTGATAGGGGACATATGTTTACCATAACAAAATTACTCAGATATAGCTATCTTACAATTTTATTATCTAAATTGTATTCAAATATATAAATTATCACATTAGTTATATTTTAAGGTATACTGGTTCAGTTGAGTAATGACTATCCTATATAATACAGATTAAAATTTCTAAGACAAAACACTGTCGCAAACATGAAATCTTAATAGCCGCAGTCCCAGTCCCAGGAGGGAAGGTTGTGGGCGGGGCATGTTAGTGGTGTTACTGCCCTGTTCCATTCCATTTCATTCAAAATTAATGTCATACCTGGACGTCTCTCAACGGATACTGTTTATATTTACACTTTAGTATCATAAGGTCATATTCTAAACCTAATTATATTAAGGGATGGTCATTGGTCAAAGTTTAAGGGTCAAAGGTGACATTTGACTACTTCTGCAAATATATCAAAAAATGATTCTTCAATGGGAGGGTATTCATGTGTCACTGACATTTTTCTTTGGTTATTTAAGTGTGCCTTCCATTGATACTGGTAGGAGAATCCTATATTATATCACTTATTGTAATACGTGAATGCTGAGATATCTCTTGCACCTGTAATAATTTACCACATCTTTGTCAGTGGCTATTTTTGTCACAGGGAAACAATTTGTGCTCATGACATAGAACCTTTCTTAAAATACAGCTGTATTCCAGTGTTTTTATTGTTCTTATGTCAATCATACTTCCACAGAAACAACGAAGGTGTGTAATGTATGTGGGTTGTTTTTTGACTCTGAACCTGTATTATTCGTAAATATTTGACAATCTGGGATGGGATTTTACTCTGTATGTGGAGAAATGTTATGCCATTAAGTCAATTAATTGTCATCTGATTGTTCTGTAACATTTGCATTTCTGTGAATGTGACACAAGTGGGTGTGTCATTTGTGTGAGAAATGATGGTGTGACTTTCAAGTGAATGTGACACATAATATGATATGTGTGTGACTGTGACTAACATGTGACTGAGGTTTGTTTGTTATAGACGATTCAAATGACTATGGTGCGAGTGTGTGTGCGTGTTTGTGTTTGTGTGTGTGTGTGTGTGACAACGAACTGACACATTCATATCTGTCAGAAAATTTACAATTTTTATCATTTGCCATGAATTAATACAACTTTGCCATATTTTTACATTTATTTTGAATTTATGTTATTCTGTTAAGTTATCTAATCTGATATCAAGTATTTTGTCATCATTATGACTTACCAATTATAATGTAACAGTGGAAAACAATACATATAGACCAAAGACAACTTCAAAAGGGATTTTATTAAAAAATTTGTTCTCTGTGCAAAACAATTATGATATGACAAAAGGATATTAACCTGGGCATCATGTGACAAAAGGATATTACCCTGGGCATCATGTGACAAAAGGATATTAACCTGGGCATCATGTGACAAAAGGATATTACCCTGGGCATCATGTGACAAAAGGATATTAACCTGGGCATCATGTGACAAAAGGATATTAACCTGGGCATCATGTGACAAAAGGATATTAACCTGGGCATCATAAGACAAAAGGATATTAACCTGGGCATCATAAGACAAAAGGATATTAACCTGGGCATCATGTGACAAAAGGATATTAACCTGGGCATCATGTGACAAAAGGATATTACCCTGGGCATCATAAGACAAAAGGATATTAACCTGGGCATCATAAGACAAAAGGATATTAACCTGGGCATCATGTGACAAAAGGATATTAACCTGGGCATCATGTGACAAAAGGATATTACCCTGGGCATCATGTGACAAAAGGATATTACCCTGGGCATCATAAGACAAAAGGATATTAACCTGGGCATCATGTGACAAAAGGATATTAACCTGGGCATCATGTGACAAAAGGATATTAACCTGGGCATCATGTGACAAAAGGATATTAACCTGGGCATCATAAGACAAAAGGATATCACCTTAGGTATTTGAATTTTACTTTTTAAAGAGATTAGTTAAACTTCTCACATTTTTTTTTTTTTTTTAACTTCAGTCAATCAGTAGCTTGTTTCATAAGTTTGAACTTTCCTATGAAAAGCAAGCTCAAATTAGATCATCTACTTACCTGAAGGGTTTATCCTGCATCCTATTTTATAATTTTCTTTTTCTTTTATAATTTCATTGTATTAGTTCGAATAAAATAATAAAAAATGCAATATGACACATGATTAAGACATACAACAAATTCTGCTCTTCTCTTTGCTGAGTTGTGTCAGGCTTGTTAAAACAAAGTATTAAGGATGCTATGATATTTGAAAGCTTTCATATGCTTGACACAAGGTGAATCTTGCTGTAATAAGTATTTGAATCTTGCTTTTACAGATACTTGTAGCTTGCAGTAGCATGTATTTGAAGCTTTCTGTAATAGATGTATTATAAATACCTACATGTGTATATATACATATGAAGCTTGCTGTAACACATATTTTTAGTTTGCTGTAACAGGTATTTTGTAGCTTGCTGTAACTGGTATTTGAATCTTGTTGTAACAAGTCTTTCGTGGCTTGCTGTAACAGGTATTTGAATCATGCAGTAACAGGTATTTTGTGGCTTGCTGTAACAAGTATATGTAGCTTGCTGTAACAGTATTTGAATCATGCTGTAACAGGTATTTGAATCTTGTTGTAACAAGTCTTTTGTGGCTTGCTGTAACAGGTATTTGGATCACGCTGTAACAGGTATTTGTATCTTGCTGTAACAGGTATTTGAATCTTGCTGTAATAGGTATTTTGAGACTTGCTATAACAGGTATTTGAATCTTGCTATTACAGGTATTTGAATCTTGCTGTAACAGGTATTTGAATCTTGTTGTAACAAGTCTTTTGTGGCTTGCTGTAACAGGTATTTGGATCACGCTGTAACAGGTATTTGTATCTTGCTGTAACAGGTATTTGAATCTTGCTGTAATAGGTATTTTGAGACTTGCTATAACAGGTATTTGAATCTTGCTATTACAGGTATTTGAATCTTGCTGTAACAGGTATTTGAATCTTGCTGTAACAGGTATTTGTATCTTGCTGTAACAGGTATTTGTATCTTGCTGTAAGAGGTATTTGTATCTTGCTGTAACAGGTATTTGAATCTTGCTGCTTTAGAAATGTCAGATTATTTACCTTCAGTATTTTTGTGAAGTTCTGTGATGCAGTACACAGCGTAAACAGCATTTACTTCGTTAAAAAAATAAAAAAAAAAAAACGAAAACAGTTTGGTCCCATAACTGACAGAAAATTGATAACATTGTAACTCTGGTAAATGCTAGACCCAATATAGCGCTCGGCTAGACAGAACTTATCTTTAGCTGGGTCGATTGAGACTCTGACCAGCCAGCCAGAGATCCCAGGTTCAAATCTTACTGGAAGCATTGAAACAAATATGCATTGACTCAGGAATAATGGTTAGCGTTACTTTCACAATTATCGTTGTAATCCCTGGAAACTCAAGGATGGATTAAAATATTAGCCACAGTATACTGCTCGGCCAGTAAACTAGTAAACCAGAGGTTACAGGCTTGAATCCTAACATTGAAATAATTAATGACCTCTGTTACAATATAGTTACAAATTATCTCACATGATTTCGTGTTTCTGTGTTCGATGATATCGACATCATAAAGAAATAAAAATTCGTGATTGATTATGAATGAGTATAATTTGAATGTTTCCAGATTATAGAATTGATTGTACATATAAAAAGGGTTTTAGATATAGAAACATTGATATCAGTGATTAAACTATTTTTATTAATGATTTATATACAAGAGTTTACAAAGAAAACAATTTGAAAAAAAAAAAAAAAATTATTATCAAAAGCAATATTTGTTTTAAATCAAAAGATACATGTATTTATATAGTTTTCTTTTAATAATTTATATGAAAAAACAACACTGGAAACAATTCTTCATCTGAGGTAACTGGCCTCTAAATTAAATTCAGTTATTCAGATAGTTTTTTTTATATCAATTTTATTATTTAGTAAAACAATAAAAACACTATCAAAATTATGAATTAACACTCGTGTGAATCGCCTAGACTGATGGGATTTTGTGTCGATCAGATCACATAGTTTTCGTGGTAGTATGTGTTTTAGGCAGATGATATGGAGTACCATCAGGAA